CCCCAAAACCCCAAAACCCCAAAACCCCAAAACCCCGATTTTAAATATAATTTTTGAATATTTTTATTTCAGCCTCTTTGTAATGGCTCTGTTAACACAAGCGAAGATTTTTGGGCCTGAACCTCAAGCGAAGTCAGCGAAAATTAGGGCAAATCATGAAGTCACAGAGTACTCTATTAGCGGCTTTGAAAAATAGGAAGATTAAGGTACGGAAATAGACTCTTTAGAGTTGACTTGACTTCAAAGTTGTCATTTTAACTCATGATAAATAGGCAGGAGATTTCTTAGATGATGATATTGTTATCCCTGATTCATGGAATCAAGACCCAATGATCTACAATGTCAAACCAAAGCATAACACTGATGTAGCAGGAGTTGTCTCAGGCCACGAGGACAGATTTGAATTTCACAATTATAATTCAAAGGTTATTATTCAAAAGAGTGATTCAGAAATGGGAGATGATCCTCCATTTACTACCAAAAACAAGCTAAATGCGCATAGAAGAACTGTAAACAAGAAGTTTGCTGAAACACAGATTGAGAATTGGCATGCCAAAAACCCTTACTTTGTCGATCAGCCAGATCTCCACCAGAAGTCAAAGAAGAATGGTAATCGACCTCAGACTGTAAAGCAGAGGAATAAGGACAAGGCCAGTTATTTTCGCTTAAAGAATGGTCTCAATAAACATGGACAAGGGATAAATTTACGGAATAGTTGACATTACGGCAATCACATCTCTCTTAAGTGTATTTCAATTCAATTTACTGATTTAGATGTCGAAAACCCGAAGGCTAAAACTAGTGCAGAGCTTAGTAAACTCAGACTCAATGAGACAAGACAAGAGAATTCCAAGATCAAAGCTGAAAAGAAGCTTGAGGACTTCGATCTGAGAATCAAGCAAAGAGAAAATAGCTATTTTAGGATGAACCATCATCCTAATGAACGGAAAACTCGGTCAAAGATGGTTCCGCATAGGACAGATAGAGAAAATGTGTACAACAAAAAGCATTTTAAACCAACTTTTCAAGGTGTTAATGGGCCTGACATCCCATCTTTCTACCAACACCAAAAGGAGTGGTGGAAGTGCAGTAAAGAATATGTTGAGAGCCCTGTGATTACCTCCCAAGCCAAACTCAAGCAGAATGCTAAGCTTGGTGGGCCATGTGACAACATCTTGCTAGCTGATTACTCTGTTGAGGAGGCCCCACAGCAGGCATTCAAAGATCACATCGTGATGCGGAAGAGCAAGAAGGAAGTCACAGAGAAACCCAATGCTAATCGGAATGTTAAAAAGACCAAGAAGGGCAAGAGACAACGTAGCAATTATATCAGATGGAGTGACAAACAAGGGAAAATACTTTCATGCAAAGGGAGGTATTTCAATAACCTTAAAGCTCAGGGCTCCTTCTCTACTGATTATAAGCCCTTGTTTTCGTCATTTAATAAGGAAGGCATCTTTATACCTCCTCCTAGTTCGAAGGATGCTCTGAAACAGCAGCTTGATGAGCAGAAAAGAAACATGAGGTCTAATGCACCCAATTCGGGGAATAACACACATCGGATCTCTGCTAGTGTGGCTAAGAAGGAGAAGCAGAAGGGTCTGCTCCCAGGGGAGCAGACTATGTTCAAAGCTCTTAGGTCTTCATACCTGAGCTCTGGAGCTAAGAATGCCAAAGTGGAAGCCTCTAGTGTATCTTCTACGACTAAACCAAACACCGCTGGTGAGAAGGGAAGGAGAAGATGTGTCTCTATTCGTTCTGGAGCTTTCCAGTTCTAAGTACTCGCTATTTCCTCTTTCCGTTGCTGATAGAGCACTACTTAGTTTTATTGAAGTTTCAATTTTGGTTTAATAAAAAGGGGTTTTGGGGTTTTGGGGTTTTGGGGTTTTGGGGTTTTGGGGTTTTGGGGTTTTGGGG